CCTAAACCCTAAACCCCAAACCCTAAACCCTAAGCCCGAACCCCCATAAGAACCACCCTCAAGGCCGAGGGATCCCTCAACCCACCCCGAAAGCCCATCCAGTTCAAAACAGCATCCCTCACCACCCGTAAGCCTCAAAACTCCAGGTTTAGGGTTTCGGGTTTAGGGTTTAGGGTTTCGGGTTTAGGGTTTAGGGTTTAGGGTTTAGGGCCTAAACCCTAAACCCTAAACCCTAAACCCTAAACGGTTCAAGGTTCCCTGTGACATTTAGAGTAACCAACCCAAAAAAGGGTGCCCTAACTTTAATATGGTGACTAGGCGACCAAGCTCAAGGGACCATGCAACTGCCCCTAACCCTAAAACCTAAGCCCGAAACCCTTAACCCTAAACCCTAAACAGTGTCAGGACCTTAGCCTGGCGGACTTCACGGCAGCTATGGAGCTTCTGTCGGGGAGCCTGCAAGTTGGAAAGGGCGCTTTTGGATTTAGGGTTTAGGGCTTCGGGTTTAGGATTTTAAAGGGGTTTAGGGGAATAGGCTTTAGGGCTTCTAGGGTTTTGGATTTTGGGGTAGGGCTTTTGTGGGTTTAGGGTTTTAGAGGGTTTAGAGTTTTAGGGGCTTAAGTGTTTAGGGTTTTAGGGGTTTAGGGCTTTTGGGGTTTTCGGTTTTTAGTGGTTGTAGGGTTTAGGGTTGGGCTTTTTAGGGTTTAGAGAATTATGGCTTCAGGACCTCCCAGGGTTTAGAATTTGGGGTCGAGGTATTAGGGTTTGGCGGTTCAGAGCTTGAGGGTCTGTACCTCCTCTTGCCGCCACATCCCTGAAGACGCCACCGCGTAACCCAACTTAGGGTGCTCGGGTTTAGGGTTGGGTTTAGGGTTTAGGGTTGCAGGCCACCCAATGAAAAGCCTGACCTTACGCTCCCCTCCCCCCCAGCCCCCGAAAAGGACTTAAGCCCTGTAAGCCTTACACCCTATACCCTAAACCCTAAACCCTAAACCCCAAACCCTATCCCTACACCCCAAAACACCTTGCGCAGCAAGGTCTCGGAAACCCCAAACCTGGGTAAACCCCAACCCCGAAACCCGAAACAAACACACATCCCAAAAGCACTATCAACCCTATACGTTGGGATGTTCCTCCCTTATACTAGCAGGTCCTCATAGAGATTGTAGTACCCCCTTTCATAATCCCTTTCAAGGACTGCTGTTGTATACGGGGGAACATCCCAACCTATCAGAAGGACCTTGGGGGTTATTTTGGGGGCTATTGAGGTACATAGGGACTATATAAGGTATGTATAGGGGTTGTCTATGGGTTATCTTGTGGAATAAGATTAAGGCCCTTCCAGGGGTCCCTCCTTGTACCCCTTAAGCCCTATCAACCCTACTAGCCTCACAAGCCCTACAAGCATTGCAAATGCTGTAATCCCAACACTGCAAATCCTAAACTGAACCCTAAATCCTAAACCCGTAGTCCCGAAACACCAAGCCCCAAACCCTATAAACCTAAAAACTACAGAATCTAACCCGCAGCCCCAAGCCCCAAGCTCTATACACCCGATAGCCCCAACCCGAACAAAAATCCTATGAACCAAATCAACCGTGTAGCCTCAAGAAATTAAATCCCAAACGCTACAAACCCTAAACCCTCAAAAGTAACTATAAGCACTAGAAAGGCTTTAACCCCAAACTTCAAAAATCTTAAACGGACCCCTACAAGCCCTAAATGCCCAAAGCCCTAAACCTTATAACTTCAACCCGAAACCTAAACCTCAACCTCAATCCCTAAACCCTAAACCCTAAACCCTCAACCCTGAGACCTACACCTCAATCCCTAAACCCTCGACCCTCAACACGGAAACCTGAACCCCAATCCCTAAACCCGGAAACCTAGTACCTCAACCCTAAAACCTAGACCCTAAACCCTGGACCCTGAACCCTGAAACCTAGACTAGGTAGGACCCAGAGGAGGCCCTCATCCCTGTTCATTGGGGTTTAGGCTCCGATTCAAACCAAAAAGGGCACCCCTTTAATTCCTAGGTTCCTCCTGGGTCTAACCTAAACCCTAAACCCTCTAAAACTTCGAGCCTAACCTTAAAACCTAGAACCTACAAGCCCCAAATACTGAACCCTCTAAAACTTAGAGCCTGTGCGCGAGAATCCTAAGCCCTAAACCCTAAGCCCTAAACCCTAGACCCTAAACCCCTGTGCGCGAGAAGGTTCCAGGTCGGCGGCGTGGCCACTTGGTCAGCGATCTGCACTGGGGCGGAGTTCCGCCCGCCCGTGGAGAGCCACCTTCAGGCGACTCATGGGGTTTAGGGTTTAGGGTTTAGGGTTTAGGGTTTAGGGTTTAGGGTTTAGGGTTTAGGGTTTAGGTTTTTTGGGTTTTCGGGTTTTAGGGTTTAGGGTTTACGGTTGGGATGTTCCCCCTTATACTACCAGTCCATAGGAGGGATTCTCGTACCCCCTACTAGAATCCCCGGTAAGGACTGTTAGTATGAGCGGGGAAGATCCCAAGTTTGAGGGTTTTGTGGGGTGTTCGGCTTTGTTGGGGGGGGGGGGGGGGTGTTGGGTTTTAAGATTGTCAAGTTCCGGGACTGTGGGTTTTTAGGCTTTGGTGTTTTTTTTTTTTTTTTTTTGGGGGGGGGGGGTTGGTGCTTTTGGGTTTTGGTGGTGTGGAGGCTTTTGTGTTTTTATGTTTTTGGGGTTTTGGTGTTTTGGGATTTGGGGTTTTAGGGTTTTCGGGTTTTCGGGTTTTTGGGGCTTTAGGGCCTTTAGGGTTTTTTTTCTCTCTTTTTTTGGGTGGCGGGTTTCGGGTTTTGGGGTTTTCGACTTTGGGTTTTGGTGTTTTGGTGTTTTGTTTGTTTTGTTTTTGGGTCGCATTTGGGGTTGGGGTGCTGTTGGGATTTTGGTGAGCCGTTGGAAGAAGCAGGAGCGGCATGTCTACTGGTTTGTAGATGCAAACTATATCCTCCGGACAAAGTCAAGCTGGCATTGCAGGCCTGCAAGTTTGCAAGCAGCATGGGATTCCCATTTTGGGGGCGACAGGAACCTTGGATGAGCGCTGGGCCAAGCTCGAAGGTGCGCAGCAGGTGGTGACTTCAGCTCCAGCGTCACACCTGAATCCTACTACTGCTATGGGCCTCGGAGAGGAGTATACAGCTCAGCGGATGGCCGATCAGCGGAGCACGCCCTCTTGGATTTTGTTCCGGGGCCAGCCGACGTTGCTGCAGGGGAGAAGGCTTTTATGAAGTCCTGGCCTGAGGCCAAGAAGGACATGCCTCCTCGGCCCCCCCCCCTGCTTGCTATCTATGGCAACATTGACGGAGCGGAGCGTCAAGAGGTGGCTCATGACACTCGGCACAGGATCGATTCAATAGTTTTGAAATGAATGAGAACTAGAGGGGACTCGTCGATTCCATCCACAATATATATTCGCGTCTTGAGTTGAAAAAGATAGACGAAAAGACCAGGGAGAGGAGCCGCAAATGCAAAAATGTTGGGGCTTGGCCGAAGCACGAGCGCACCGGACGTCAACCTACTTGATAGGAGCCTTAGCGAATATCATATTTTGAAGGTATGGCCAAGCAAAGCAAGATATACTGATGGGCTTTGGGATGCCGTTCCGCCTTATCAATAGTGCCCAGCGTGGATCTTCAATCATCTTGAAGAGTATATCAGATATGTATTCTACCGTCAGCATATGCCTTCAAGCCCTCAACACATCAACACAAGTCTGAATTCTCGAGATAAATATGTGCAGAAGAAAGCCGTGGTTGGTGCATCCTCTCAATACGGATATCGCCTTTGGAGATTTTGGAGGCACCGCAACGATTAGAGATCACGTTCTTGTTTACAAATAAGGTGCTCAGCCGAGAGCGATTTGGCAGAGCTTCAAAAATATTGATCTTTTGTATCAAGTAAAGAAACGTAATCTTCGAGCATAGTGCCTTGTCAATAGCGCCCAACATGGATCTTCCGCCGGATGGCATGGAAATTAGCCTGAGCAAATACGGAGCTAAGGATATAATCTATCACATTCCTTAAGAAGCCAATAACTCCAAAATCACAGGGCTTAGGGCTTAGGGTTCAGGGCTTAGGTTTTAGGGCTCAAGGCACAGAGCTGAGGGGGTTTACGGAACCTGAAACCCTACACCCTGAACCCTAAACCCTAACCCTACACCCTCAACCCTTACAGGAAAGAAGACAAGTCAAGCGCTTCAGCCCTGTGCAGGTTCTGCCCTTCCCCCTGGGCTGCCAGGGCTCAAATCTGCACGGGGCTGAGTCTGTTCAAGGCTGAGAGGTTTATTTATTGTATTTTAATTTTTTTTTTTTGGGGGGGGGGGGGGGGGGGGGCGGGGGGGTGGGGGGGAGGGTTTGGGTTGGGGTTTGGGGTTGGGGTTTTTAGGGTTTAGGGTTTAGGGTTTAGGGTTTAGGGTTTAGGGTTTAGGGTTTAGGGTTTAGGGTTTAGGGTTTAGGGTTAGGGTTTAGGGTTTAGGGTTTAGGGTTTAGGGTTTAGGGTTTAGGGTTTAGGGTTTAGGGTTTAGGGTTTAGGGTTTAGGGTTTAGGGTTTTGGCTTCCCTGTAGTACCCTTTGCCCTTTTTTGGGCTTCCAGGTTCCCTTATAAAGGTAAGCCAACCCACAAGAGGGTACCCTTACTATGACGTGGTTGCTGGGCTTCCCGGAGGCTGATTGGGGTTTAGGGTTTAGGGTTTAGGGTTTAGGGTTTAGGGTTTAGGGTTTAGGGTTTAGGGTTTAGGGTTTTGGGGGGTTGGGGGGTTCAGGGCCCAAGTTCAGGGCTGTGGGGGCTTGGGTTTGTTTGGGGGTTTTGGGGGTTTTTGGGGTTTAGGGTTTTGGGTTTAGGGTTTAGCGTTCAAGCTCAGGGTTCTTGGGGGTTCGGGTTTAGGCAGGGCTCCGTTTTTAGGGGTTTCGGGTGTAGGGTTGAGGGCTGAGGGCTGAGGGTTGAGGGTTGAGGGTTTTGAGGAGTCAGGGTGTTGAGGCGACATGAGGCGACCGACCCTCGGTGGCATCTTGCTCCATCCTTTTCAGGGTTCACGAAGGTACCCCCTCCCCCCCTCCTAGAAAAAAACACAATTTTTTTTTTAAACTTACACCGAAATCCCAAGGTCGCTGGGTCTGGGAGTCTAGGTCTTTATGGTTCTAGGGCCCAAGAATATACTATAAATACAGGTACATGGATCCTTTGGGAATACAGGGGGCGGAATCATTACTAGCAGTATTCCCTTATGGTCCCTTTATGAATATACTGCCTGCGGATGTTGCGTTATGGAGCTTGTTTGGTCTTAGGGCGAGTGGCCCTGCATCTTCGTGCGCTGGTGAACCTGATTGAACAGCGACCGGACCCTAAATTTCCTAAACCCTAAACCCTAAACCCTAAACCCTAAACCCCAAACCCTAAACCCTAAACCCTAAACCCTAAACCCTAAACCCTAGCCTGAATACCCGCTTTTATGATCCCCATGAAGGACTGTTAGTAAACGGGGAACACCTCAACCCTCGTGTAGTTGGAGAACGAACAGATAGGCACCAGGGAGCCCAAACGACTCTAGAACCTAGGGTTTAGGGTTTAGGGTTTAGGGTTTAGGGTTTAGGGGAACTTCTGAATGTCCAGGCGCTTTCCACTGGAGTTCCTCTTCGAGCGATGCCTGAAGGAGGTCCCCACCTCTCATAGGCCCTAAACCTTCAATCTGCAGCTTCGAAGATGTTTTTCTCAGAGAGCCCCCTAAAAAATTCGGGCCCAAGTTAGGGGGCTGAGGCTTGATAGCCGACAAGTTGAGCTTTCAACGTCTTGGGCTTCCTTACTTCGTAGGAACAATCTTTTTTGACCTTTTTGATTCCCTGGATATGGCGGACGTATCTAGGGGAAAGGTTCTCCCTCCACCTATACCCGACTGCTCGCGGCCAGAAAGAGAAAGAAGCCGAGACCCTGCCCGTCTTCCCTTTCCAGCACCTGCTGATGTCGGCCAATGCCTCAGAGATGTTGCCAAGAGTCGCAAGAACATGCGTACATCGCTGGGTAATCATGCAGCTGCGTGCATGCGTTTCGTATGCACGTTGCATGTGTGGGCAGAAACAGAGAGAGAGAGAGGCCAACCCTAAACCCTAAACCCTCAATCCTAAACCCTAAACCCTAAACCCTGAACCCCAAACCCTAAACCCTAAACCCTGAACCCTGAACCCTAAACCCTAAACCCTAAACCCTAAACCCAAAACCCTAAGCCTGCTCTTTCCAATGCCAGATCCCGGCTCCGGGAGTGGCCGACAGCAGCTCCCTGAGTTCTGGGTTTTTTATAGGGTTTAGGGTTTAGGGTTTGAGGTTTAGGGTTTAGGGCTAGGGTTTAGGGTTTTCAACTTAGGGGGCCGGGGGATCCGACGGTTTAGGGCTTGCTGCTGTGCAAGTTTCGGAGATTGAGGGTTTGGGGGGGTGGTGGGGGGTGCAGATTTTGAAGACCCCAAACCCTAAACCCTAAACCCTGGACCCTGAACCTTGTAGCCCTAAACCCGACTTCAACCCTCAAGCCCTAAAGGCCCTAAAGCCTTAGAAACCTTAGAGGCGGACCTCTCAGGCCTTATGCCGTAAAACCCTAAAGCCCAAGACCCCAAACCTTAAACCCTCAAGCCAATGTTCAATAGAAGGTGTGTAGGAGCAAATGAACTTCGAAGTTTTTGGGCTGTGCCAACCCTTCCAAGATGCATAGAAAGGCCATGTGCCTTATGTTCGCCCTTGGTTGAAGGACTACGGAAAGGCCCTAAACCCTAAACCCTAAACCCTAAACCCTAAACCCTAAACCCTGGAATAAAACCCCAGGCCCGCCCACAAACCCCACCGCTCCGAGCCCCTTCGCCAAGTCCCGTTTCAAGGGTTTAAGGTTTAGGGTTTAGGGTTTAGGGTTTAGGGTTTAGGGTTTTCAAAGCCCTCCGCCCAAGCCTCCAAGCCTTTTCCCAGGCTCAAGGTCCCGTTTTCAAGCTTTTCCAAGCAGCCGGAGCAACACAACAAAACTTTCGCTCAAAACTTTTGCTCAAAGCCCCGGACCCAACCGCTATACACCCCTGTTGCCCTAAGTCCTAAACCCTGTAGAGGGCTTTTGGTGGGCAAGGGTTTAGGGTTTTAGGATTTAGGGTGTAGGCTTTAGGGTTTAGGGTTTAGGGCCCCCGTTGTTCAGAGTTGAGGGTTCAAGGTTTAGGGCCAGGGTTTGGGGTGGAGGGTTTAGGGTTTGAGGGGGGCCTGCAGGGGGCCCTAGGTAGGAGCTGCCAAAATAGCGTTTGCGTTGGGTTTTTGTTTGGCCTTGGCCCTTGGAATACCGGTGGCACAAGATGCACAGCCCCAAGCCCTAAACCTAAACCTTCAACCCTAAACCCAAAACCCGAAACCCTAAACCCAAAACCCTAAACCCTAAACCCTAAGCTAACCCCCCGAAACGAGAAGCCCTTGTTTCGCCAGGCAAGCCGAGCCCTCTGGAGTTTGCCAAGGCACGTTTAGGGTTTAGGATTTAGGGTATAGGGTTTAGGGTTTAGGGTTTAGGACTTTTTGTTTGTGTTGGCTTTTTTGAGGGTGGGTTTCTGGCGCCTTGTTTTTGTGTTGCACTCTGCTTTTTGGGGTTCGGGGGTTGGATGGGTGGGGTTTGGGAGTTTTCTGACCGGTCTGTGGTTTAGGGTTTTGGGTATGAGAGCTCCGAAGTTTCTTGGAGTTAGGGGTTGCAGCGTGCTTTTTGGGAATTTTGAGGGCTTAGGCTTTTTGATTCTAGCAGAGTTGGGAAGTGCATCAATTCGGGATTTCCAGGCGGATATAGCTGGAAATGCTGCGCGGTCCCAAAATGACGCAAGGAATATGGCAAGACCTGCTAGATAATTGCCTTGGGTCCTTTCATGTCTGTTAAACATGCTGATGTGCAGCCTGTTCCCGGTCAGAACCTTAATTAAACCCCGATCAAACCCTGCCCTATTGGGGATGGGGTCCTCCAGTGTAGAACCTCGTAAAAATAAGGGGGTTGACCCACCCCCCCCCCCCCCCCCCCCCCCCCCCCTCGCCCTCCCCCGCCCCCCCCCCCCCCCCCCCGGCGACTTCAAAGGGAATTTGATGCTTGGCTGTGACATTCCCCAGAATGACGCTGCGCCACACCGCTCACAGACCACACCCTTAGCCTCGGAGCTGTTGGCGTGGAGGAGTTGAGCATCATCACGTTGCAAGGAGGATGACGGCTCTGCTGATGGCTCGGCTGATGGCTCGGACGACGAGGCTCCGAAGCATGATGACCCTGCTGAGCCTGAGCCCGCCGAGCCTCGCCCCCCCCCCTCCCCCCAACCCCCCAAACCCCCCAAACCCGAAAACCCGAAAACCCGAAAACCCGAAAACCCGAAAACCCGAAAACCCGAAAACCCGAAAACCCGAAAACCCGAAAACCCGAAAACCCGAAAACCCGAAAACCCGAAACCCTAACCCTAGACCCTAAACCCTAGACCCTAGACCCAAGACCCAAGACCCAAGACCCTGAGCTGCTTGTGTGCGTTTCGGCAGTCCGCTGCATCTACCTACGACACGGCCCTCATCAAGCTCAACGGTGCTCGCCGGAGCCTGAACCCTTAGGGTTTAGTTTTTAGGGTTTAGGGTTCCCTACGAAGAAGTTTAGCCCTAAGCCCTAAACCCTAAACACTAAACGCTGGCATTCTTGGTTTCTGATTCTTCCTGAACCCAGGATCATTCCCTAAACCCTCAACCCTAAACTCCAAACCCTCAACCCTAAACCCCAAACCCTAGCACTTGCAAGCTTTGCCAAGGCCAGGGAGGATCCAGGCTGCTCGCCTTCACCACTACCTGGATGTCGGGACCTTATGATGAATCCCGGGTTTAGGGTTTGGGGTGTAGGGTTTGGGGTGTAATTAGGGTTTTAGATTTCGGGTTTAGGGTTTAGGGTGTAGGGTTTAGGGTTCAGGGTTTAGGGTTGAGTCACAAGATCAGCCAACGTAGCATCCGAACAGCTAAGCAGAGCGCAAAAGTATGCCCTGCAAGTGAAGGCATTCAAGTGCGAACCGTCTGGGTGCATCGCTAACTTTGGCCAGGATGCACGGCGTACCTTGGCCAGGATGCACTGCCATTTACAGCGTTCCCCTGATACATGGCCTCCATAACATGGCTATGCCCCAGCATGCATTGACGATCCTCATGTCGAAGATTTCCAAATCCCTTTTCTGCCATGTCACCCAAACCTACTATTTGCTCAAGAACACCCCCCCCCCCCCCCCGAAAACTAAAAACATCTTTCCTTATAAGGGTAATATAGGGATGATCATTCATGTGTTCTTGGGGGCTCTCAAGCAAACAGCAGAAACCCAGAAAGAAAGGGTTTAGGGTTTAGGGTTTAGGGTTTAGGGTTTAGGGTTTAGGGTTTAGGGTTTAGGGTTTAGGGTTTAGGGTTTAGGGTTTAGGGTTTAGGGTTTAGGGTTTAGGGTTTAGGGTTGGTTTAGTGTGCCATCGCCATGTGGCATATATACCCGCACGATTGCCCGCAGGCTCGTGGCTGAGCTGTCGCCGCCTGACGTCGGAAGTCCTGAGCATGAGGCCGAAAATGTGCAGCTCTCCTAAACCACACAACCCTTTTGGGGTTAGGGTATAGGGTTTAGGGTTTAGGTTTTAGGGTTTAGGGTTTAGGGTTTAGGGTTCAGGGTTTAGGGTCCATAAACCACAGACCTAAACCCAACAGCTTCCTTAGCAGGAAGCTGCAAAACACAGGGCTCAAGCTCGGTTAGAGCGCATAGAGTGGTTGGTGCACAAGCTGTTGGTTTCGGAACGCTCCTGAAGTTTTCAGGGACGCGGCCCTCCACCCTGAACCTCAAAACCCTAAACCCTGAAGCCTAAGCCCTAAGCCCTAAACCCTAACCCTAAACCTTAACCCTAAACCCTAAACCCTAAACCCCCAACCCAAAGACCTCCTGTCCTTGCAGGTGTGGCTCCGATTGCCACCGCCACATCCCTGCGCCCTCCTGAGTTAGATGATGAAACCCTAGCTCAAGGTACACCTTACACACCACACGTACATCATACATACATGCATGCACACACACACATACATCTTACATACATGCATACACACACACACACACACACACACACGCACGTCTATTATGCTTCTCGATAAGAAGTGGGTTTAGGCTTTTAGGGTCTAGGGTTCAATCCCTTTAGGGTTTAGGGTTTAGGGTTTAGGGTTTAGGGTTTAGGGTTCAGGGCTTGGCAGGGACCCCGCAAGAAATAGACCCCCCGGTCCCAAGGCGCCTTATGCGGCTTCGTGATCTGCCCGCCGGTGGAGAGCTGCTTCCCTGAAACGGCGGGAGGCCTGCGACCTTGGGGTTTTAGGGTTGTATATAGGGGTTTAGGGTTGTAGGGTTTAGGGTTTAGGGTTTAGGGTTTAGTGTTTAGGGTTTAGGGTTTAGGGCCAATCGTCCAGCATTTGTGGGTTTGTTGTGCCGGGAAAAAAGGCTTCAGGGAGGTTGTTTTCCGGGATTTCGGGATTGAGGGGTTTCATGTGTGCCGCACGGCAACTCTGACATCGTGCGAATTCTACACGCAGGCCACGCTTTCAGCAAGGCGGCAGTTGCACATCCACCCGTCGTCGCCCATGAAAATGAGCTCTGAAACCCTAAACCCTAAACCCTAAACCCCTCCATAGCCGAACCATGCCTGCAGGTTTTAGGATTTTAGGGTTTGAGGTTTTGTTGGGGTTTTAGGTGTCAAGGTTGTTGCAGGGTGTTAAGGTTGGTTTAGGTTTGTTTTCGGGTTTTTGGGGTTTGGGGTTTTAGGTTTTTGGGGCTGTAGGGTTTAGGGGTTCAGGGTGCAGGGTTTAGGGTTCGTTCAGGCTTTAACCCTGAACCTGAAAGCCCTTTAAACTCTTGTGGAGGCTTTAGGCTTTAGGGTTCAGGACCCCTAAACCCCAAACCCCAAACCCCAAACCCTAAACCCTAAACCCTGAACCCTGAACCCTAAACCCTAAACCCTAATCTTAAACCCTAAACTTAAACCCTAAACCCTAAACCCTAAACCCTAAACCCTAAACCCTAAAGGGCTGTCCCTTTTACTATGCGCAGACAGGACAGCTGAGCCAGAACAAGCTCGTCTCCAACCGCGCAGAGGAGGACGAAAGCCCTAAACCCAAAAAGGGTTTAGGGTTTAGGGTTTAGGGTTTGGGGTTTGGGGTTTGGGGTTTGGGGTTTGGGGTTTGGGGTTTAGTGCTTAGGGGCAGGTCTGTCGGATTGCCAGCGCTCAGATGTAGGTTGTGCTCCTTAGAGCCTTTCTTGGTACCAGAAGCTGCAAGGAAGGTACTGCGCGATCCGAGACCCGAAAAGTGGCCCCCCCCAAACCCACCCTGAGGCCCTCAACCCTAGTCGCTTGTAGGGTTTAGGGTTTAGGGTTTAGGGTTTAGGGTTTAGGGTTGCAAGGAAGGAATTGCTGCCGACGCCCCTGACTTCGAGCAGCTTGCGAAGCAGGCAGCCAGGGGAGCGAAGCGGTTTAGGGTTTAGGGTTTAGGGCTTGGGGCTTAGGGTCTAGGGTTTAGAGTTTAGGGTTGAGGGTTGAGGGTTTGGGGTTTAGGGTTTAGGGTTTGGGGCTAGATAGAGTTTAGGGTTTAGGAAACAACCCTGTGAAACCTTGCAAGCCCAAGGCCCCCAAAATCCCCGACCCCTAGACCCTAAACCCTAAACCCTAAACCCTAAACCCTAAACCCTAAACCCTAAACCCTAAACCCTAAACCCTAAACCCTAAACCCTAAACCCTAAACCCTAAACCCTAAACCCTAAACCCTAAACCCTAAACCCTAAACACTAAAACCCTAAACCCTAAACCCTAAACCCTAAACCCTAAACCCTAAACCCTAAACCCTAGCCCTAAACCCTAGCCCCCAGGAGGTGTAAGCATCCCACGTCTTAGGGCACGTGCTGACTGCACGAGGTTCGCATCTCCTCACAGATCTACACGCGGCGGCGTGCTCAGCTCTAGGGTTGAGGGCTGATAGGGTTTAGGGTTTAGGGTTTAGGGTTTAGGGTTTAGGGTAGGGTTTAGGGTGTAGGGTGTGGGGTGTGGGGTTTAGGGTTTATAAGGGTTTTAGGGTTGCGGTTGAGGGTTTAGGGTGTTGCAGAGGCCCGCCGCGTCACCTAGCTGCAGTTTGTTTTGGAGTATCCAAGAGTTTAGGGTTTAGGGTGCAGGGTTTAGGGTTTCATGGGCCCTTAGTATGGTCGGTATATAAGGGGCGGAGTACCTGTTGTCTTTTGGTTAGAGAATGATAACACGATTCCCCCCCCCCCACCCCACAAAAATGAAACAGAGGAGCTTCAATTCCGGTTCGGGTCAAAGTGTGGGATTGCAAGATCGCTTTCAAAAATCCAAAACCCTAAGCCGTAAACCCTAAACCCCACACCCCAAACCGCAAACCCGAAACCCTCATCTCTTAAGCTACCGCAAGGCCAGCGGAGACAGTGGGCTATTGGGTGAAGAAGTGAGATTTTGGGGAGACTTCTCAGCAAGACCGGAAGCGTTAGGTCTTCTGCAGAAAATTTGGGTACACGCTGTCATCAGTGAGGTGGGGGGTTTAGGGTTTAGGGCAATAAGGGCTTAGGGTTGAAGGGTTTAGGGTTTAAGGGTCATGATCTCATAGGCATAGGGGGCACATGTGTAACACGAGCTGCTGCACTAAGGGTGCCAGCAGTTCAAGCAGTGCTTAAAGCGGCACTTGCGTACGACGTTGCCTTTGCGCGTCTTCCTGAGATCCTTCTGCTGCAAGGATTCCCGGCCAAAATTGTCCATGGCCTGTTGGCACTGACCCGAAAGTATTGAAAGGCCCCCACAAGTGCGATGGCAGTGCAGATACTACTAATTGCTTAAGAACCCTCAAAAAACTAGGACATTCTTCCTGATAAGGGTAATATAGGGATTATTTTCTTTATTTTCTTTTGGGGTTCTTAAGCCAAATAGTAAGATATGGTGTGGCTGGTGCCGGTAATGAAACGGCCGTCCACGGCTCCGAATGAGGAGGAGCAGCGATGAACAGCGGCCGAATTCAGATTTGCTTTCTGATAGCCCCAGCAAAACTCATAGGTTTCCATGTAGATTCTTCTTACTGGGGTTTAGGGTTTAGGGTGTTAGAGTTTAGGGTTTAGGGTTTAGGGCACCCCTCTCGAATGCTGCCATCGGCATGCAACTTGAAGTGATACACCAACTCGCCTGGGACGGCCGTGCACGCTCCAAGCTTGACGCCTTCTCTAAGAGACCGGCGCAAGGGCTCGGGGCCCTAAAAGCCACATAAACATAAGGATCCTAGGGTTTAGGGTTTAGGGTTTAGGGTTTAGGGTTTAGGGTTTAGGGTTTAGGGTTTAGGGCCCTTATATGGGGAATTCTGGAAAATGCAGTTGGTAGAATCCCCATGTTTACGTGGTTTTTTTGGGCCCCTGCAAAGCAAAATGAGAGAGCGCCGTCGCCTTGTCACCGTGAACCTGGGGACGACATGAACCCTAAAAGGTTTTATATAATTCGGGTTTAGGGTTTAGGGTTTAGGGTTTAGGGTTTAGGGTTTAGGGTTTAGGGTTTAGGGTTTAGGGTTTATAGGGTATATGTCGGGATGTTCCACCGTATACTAACAGACCTTAGTCGGGATTATAGTCGGGGGGTCCTAGAATCCATATCAAGGACTGTTAAGGGGGAACATCCCCAGGTATAACGACCCCAATTTAGGGTTGAGGGTTTAGGGTTTAGGGTTTAGGGTGTAGGGTTAGCACTCAGGCCTCAAGTGAGGGTGCACTCGAGAGAGGAGACCTCCCCAGAAATTGCTCTAGGTGGGGTGTTTGGCGGGAAACATGGAGTGTTTAGGGTTTAGGGTTTAGGGTTTAGGGTTTAGGGTTTAGGGTTTAGGGTTTAGGGTTGTCTGAGATCGAGGCTTAGAGACTGTAGGCCGTGCCCCAAGGGCGATTTTAAGAGGTTCATAGGGTCTCAGGGTTTTAGGGTCTTAGGATTTTAGTACTTTATAGTTTTAGGGTTTTAGGGCTGTTTAGGTTTTAAGGCTAGGTTTCGGGGGTTTGGGAGGTTATTAGGGGGTTCAGGTGTTGCTTTGTGTCTGCTAAACACTAAACCTAAACCCTAAACCCTCAACCCTAAACCGGGTTCAGGGTTTCAGGGTGCGGGTTTCAGGTTTAGGGCCGATGTAGGGCGTAGGAGGGTCTAGAGCGGTAAAGGCCAGAAACCATCCCAAGCCCTATGCCCTAAACCCTAAACCCGCAACCCCTAACCCTAAACCCTAAACCCTAAACCCTAAACCCTAAACCCCATAAGGCCTGACCGAACCTAAGCCCCTGAGACCCCCGTGAGAGGAGCCGCGGACCACCAGGCCTGACACACCCCAAGGCTTGAGAGCGCTGGGCGTTTGGGGTCTTTGTTTAGGGTTTAGGGTTCAGGGTTTAGGGTTTAGGGTTTAGGGTTTTCGGGTTTCGGGTTTAGGGTTTAGGGTTTAGGTTTTTTAGGGTTTTGGGTTTTTGGTTTTAGGGTTTTAGGGTTTTTAGGGTTTTTAGGGTTTTTAGAGTTTTTAGGGTTTTTAGGGTTTTTAGGGTTTTTAGGGTTCTTAGGGTTCTTAGGGTTCTTAGGGTTCTTAGGGTTCTTAGGGTTTTTAGGGTTTTTAGGGTTTCTAGGGATTTTAGGGTTTTTTAGGGTTTTAGGGTTTTTTAGGGTTTTAGGGTTTTGGGGTTTTGGGGTTTTTGGTTTTTTGGTCTTTTGGGGTTTTAGGGGTTGGGGCTTTAGGGGTTGAGGGTTGAGGGTGCAGGGTTTAGGGTTTTGGTTTTGAAGGGCTTGGGGCTCTTTTGAGGGGCGTAAGGGCTTTGGGGGGCTTAGAGGGTTTGCCGGGAGCTTTGGAGGGTTCAGGGCTTACTTTGGGTCGCTGGAGTGGTTTTCGGGGCCTATTTTTTTTACATTTTTGGGGATGTTTTCTCTTGTACTAACAGCCCTTCATGGGAATTCTAGGACCCCGATTATAGTCCCTATAAAGGACTGTTAGTATAAGGGGGCACATCCCAGTATACATGTAAGGGAGGGGGGTTCCAGGGGGAGTATGGAACCCAAGATTCCCCAACTCCCTGCTACTCCCTGAGGTTCTGTAGGCTTCCCCATAAGGTCGGAGTCCCCTAAACTGCACGGTTCCCTCCGTACTAAGGACCCCGGAAAACCCCTTAGGGTTTAGGGTTTAGGGTTTAGGGTTTAGGGTTTAGGGTTTAGGGTTTTGGAGCTTTGTGGTACGGGTGCAGGTTCAGGGTCTCGTAATGTCTCGTAGCTTGGCTGAAGCTGATGGTGAGGATCGCGCAAGATGTTGAAAAGAAGCGATCGGCAGCGGAGGCCTGGCTGAGTTGCCAACCTGGAAGCCGAGATCATGGCCCTGGAGATGGACCTCTTTGCATCACAGGCGCAGTTCCGCATCAGCGCGAGGATACTGGGCCTCGGGCAAAGCGCCACACATGAGGATGTGAAAAGTCGGTGACCCCTGTTGACTGTTTGGCTCGCTGGCTCGGGTCAGCGAGAGGTTGGGTCAAGGGGTGGAGATGGGGAAGAGATCGCTGCTTCTCGAGTAGTGCATGGCCATGCCGGCAGCCACCCACCACCCTAAACCCAACCCTAAACCCGAAAGCCTAAACCCTACAAACCCTGCAAACCCTACAAACCCTTAGAAATCTGAACCCTAAACTCAAGGCCAAGGCCCATTTAAGCCCTCGACCTCGTTCATGGGTACTTAGAAGTAGGGGCTAGAAGTAGGGGAACTACATGGTTATAAGCTTAGGTTTAGGGTTTAGGGTTTAGGGTTTAGGGTTTGGGGTTTGGGGTTTAGGGTTTAGGGTTTAGGGATGGCGCAAGCCACCCCGCACAGCTCGGAGATGCTCGGAGGCCCTTCTGGGTTGTCCGTGGGACCCTCCAACCTGCTGACCCTCAAACCTTCCTAAACTTTAGGGTTTAGGGTTTAGGGTTTAGGGTTTAGGGTTTAGGGTTTAGGGTTTAGGGTTTAGGGTTTAGGGTTGAGGGTTTTGGGTGGAATTGGTCTGGCATATCATCGGTTTTGGAAGTAGGCAACTGACTTGAACTAGGCCTAGTAAACCCCTAAACGGAATAGGTCAGTTCCGACATCTGCGCCATATCGCTGCAGACCCTAAACCCTGAACCCTGAACCAGGATGGAGCCCTCTTTACGCTTTAATCTCCCAACTCTTCCCATGATGCATCCTCGGGGCAAGAATAGGGTTGCGGATCCCTTTCAGAATTCACCTTGAACCCTAAACCCTAAGCCCTAAGCCCTAAACCGTAAACCCCAAACCCTAAACCCTAAACCCTAAACCCTAAACTCTCGTATAGCTTAAGGATCCCTCAGCCTCGAAACCCTAAACCCTCCAGGGTCGGGGATTCCTCCACCCCTATCCCAGAAATCCTGAACCCTAAACACTAAACCCCAAGCCCCAAACCCTAAACTCTAAACCCTAAACCCTACACCCTAAACCCTAAACCCTAAACCCTAAACCCTAAACCCTAAACCCTAAACCCTAAACCCTAAACCCTAAACCCTAAACCCGAAACGGAAGGACATGAAGGCCGAAGGGACACCTGCTCCCCTGGCCGAGACACAGAGGCCACATGAGCACCGAATTCTAGTTTAGGGTGTAGGGTTTAGGGTTTAGGGTTTAGAATTTAGGGTTCAGGGTTTAGAGTTTAGTTAACTGCCCGTACATCGATATTCCCTCCTATGTTCTCCCTTCAAATCTCCCTGGAGGGGTTTTTGGGGAACTTAGATCCCTTTCGGCCAAGAGCCGGCAAGAGTGGGGTAGCCTACATGTGACACACCCAAGTTGAAAATCTGCTGTAACCCACAAACCCTGAACCCTAAGCCCTGAACCTTGCGGTGGACGAGTCAGTTTAGGGGCGTGAGTGTGAGGGGCTTTGGGTATGAGATGTGGTCTCTCCCTAAAGCCCTAGACCCTAAAGCCCTAGACCCTAAACCCTAAATCCTAAATCCTAATCCCCTGTAGATGACTTCTTAGGTCAAAACCAAAGTATGGGCTCCTTGTTTGGGTCGCTGGCCTGTTTTGGGAACATCGTTAGTCTAGATATTTCTCGGAGTTACGTTACACACATCTTTATGTGCACAATAGGTGTGGATGTATGTACGTACATGTACATGGTCAGTTCTGCAAAATGTGTTCTTTTCAGGGGTGCTCTAAACATGAGGGGCCGCCTTGTCATAGTAATCCAGAAAGGGGAGAGTAGAAGTAACGGTAACCAACAAAAAGAAAAGAGAGAGAGAGAGAGAGAAATACACAAATAAATGAGAATGTATACATATATAATGATATATATATATATGTAGGGTTTAGGGTTTAGGGTTAGGGTTTAGGGTTTAGGGTTTAGGGTTTAGGGTTTAGGGTTTAGGGTTTAGGGTTTAGGGTTTAGGGTTTAGGGTTTGAGGGTCGGGTGTGGCGCCCTTC